TGAAGGCTCTTCCTTCTAGAGGCCTTCCAAACCAGGGCCAAGTCTTTGTCTCCTGTTCCTCCTACCTAATTTATAACATACACGCACAAACACTCACATATGCATACACACGTACACATGCTCACATGCACGCACACATCCCCATACACGTGGTGTGCGAACAGTTCTTTTCCCATTGAGGCTCAGAGGGTTTTGCTGATTTTGGAATCCTTGAGTCCTAAGAAAAGGTATATATGTGTACCAGGAGCAAGGTCTGCCTGGCATCCTGTCTCTCCCTGGAGTGATAGGAAGCCACCTCTTTCTCTACCTCACTCTGCCTCAAGTTCTACCATTAACAGTTCATTCTGTTTGTCCTCAAAGGGCTCTCAATCTTCAGAAGTCTCTCCTCCTCTGAAAAAAATAAATAGTTGGGAAAGAAACTGCTACGGGTCCCCAGCGCCAGTCTTAGCCTTGAATCCATTTTTCAGATGCCTTGGTCGTGTGGGGCAAGGCCCTGAGAAAGGAAAGCTGAAAGGACCTGCAAGAGAAGGGTGAGAGGAGGGGGCAAAAGAGCAGCCCACAGTCTCGTGTCATGCCCAGTCTGCCTGGGCTGTAAAAGAGGAGAGAAATTTCACTCATGCGTTCAACAACAAGTATGGACTGAGTCCTTATTATGTGCCAGGGGTCATGCCAGGCACTGGGATCCCGTGGCAAGCCAAGCCAGCTGGTTCCTGCCTGTGTGGAGCTATACTTCACTTGCAGGAGGGTGAGTCCCCCCCAAAAATCACACTAACAAGCATGTCATTGCAAACCCAGGTTAGTGTACTTAAGGCGTGCTCTACAAGAATAGCCCCAAGGAACCAACCACGACTGGGGGACCAAGAAGCCTTTATGAAGAAGTGATGCTTAATTCTAAAGAAGTGGAAATTAACTAGAAAAAACACCGGGGCGAGTAGGCATTACAGGCCAACGAGGGACCTGCGTGTGCGAAGGCTCTGTCATGTAGAGGCCCACCGAACACTGTCATTGTGTGTGATCATTGACCTTCAGTAAACTCTGAACTTGAAGGAAAGCGTTCCCTTCTAAAAATGGGTTTCCCTTTCCCTTTCCCCTTCCACTCAGCCCTGCACTTAAATCAATACCGAGCGACGCAGAGAAGGTAAGCGATGCCGGAGAAAGCCTTAAAAAAACAAAAGTGCAGACAGCAGCTATGACAGCCATTTCCTGTTTGGTATCTCTCACCACAAACCTTCTTGGCCAAATAAATTAGCACAGGAAAACATTTTTTGGAGAAGGATGTGGAAGAAACACAGCCTGAAAAACCAAGAAGAAAGATCTCATCTGCTTTTCAGAAAAGAGCGAAGGTCTGAGGTAAGAGCCAGAGCCACCAAACTGGATGGTGAGTCACTGAGACACTGAGTCCCTGGAGGATGCTTAACCTGGAGGACGCTGAGGCCCAGGGTGGGACCCGGATCAGTCGATGGCAGGCGGGGGCTTGAAGCCATCTCTGGGCTCTGTGTCCGATATTCTCCTCTGGTCCCATCAGACAGCATCTTCTGGCTTCTTTTATTGGAGAAGGAACAACGGAGCCGGAACGCCTCAGAGACCTCTATAGGGGAAGCTAGGTTGTGGGTTGGGTAGAGGAGCCCGTGTCCTTGTACTATGAAGTGGAGGATGAGGGGTTGTAGACACTAGGTTTTCTGTATTTGATCTTCATGGTGGCCCTGGGAGACAAGGACTCACATCTCCATTTTACAAATGAGGAAACAGAGCCTCTGTGAGGAGGGTGAGCTCCTGAGGTAACGCCCAGGTAGAGTGGCAGAACTGGTCTAGTTTGAAAGGCCAGATTTTACTTTCTCCCCCTTTTCCCAGTCTAATTCCTCAAGTTCCCCACCCAGATTGCCAGTAAGCTACCCACCACTTTCAACTGCCCCTCCACTCGGACGGCCTTCTCACACCTGGACAGATGTGCAATGTAACCCGTCTCCGTCACAATGTCCCCAAGGAAAAGTGTGCATTGGTTCCTCTGTCCCAGCCCTAGGGGCTGGCTGGTGTGTAAACACTTGGGCTGGCACTGGATCCTCTCACTTTGGGTGAGTGTCAAACATTTTGTTTTGTTTTCTTTTGATTTAGCTATTCCTCCCAGAAGTTAAAACAGAAAATTCCCAAACTCAAAGTCATACTATTCGAATCCGAACAGCGCTGCATGCTCAATGTCTGGTCTTGTTCTGCTCCAGAAAAGCTCCTTTGCTAACACATTCCAGGTAACAATCAAGCAGTTTGCAAGGGCGTGCTGCTGGCCCTCAGGTCCGGAGGAGGAGGAACACTGCAGGGTTCAGTGGCAGAGGGGACTAGTTGTCTTCCAACACCCATTCTCTTAGTCTTTCATTAATAACAGTGCTCTCACATGTTAGCTGAGCACATATAGTATACCTGCCCAACTAGAGACGTTTTCACAGCCTCCCTTGCAGCTGGGAATGACAACCGGACAATGATCTAGACACGGGAATATGTGCACAAATGATTGTGTCCCTTAAGTCTGTGTTTACTCACCTTTTCTCCTTTCTACAGGCTGGAATGTACATGTGAGGACAAGAGCAGGAGCAGCCTCTTTGAACCCTAGAGTCGCACACCCAGTACTGCTCACCTCTGGGCCGTTAGTGAGGAAAGAAAAAAAATCTTCCATGTTGTTCAAGACACTCTATTTTGAGTTCTCTGATTCACAAGCTTAAACTGACCCTAAGTATTTATGCACTGATGTGAATGAATCTCTAAGTGGGGTACATACCATGCAGCACTTTTCAAGTATATACGACCTTAATACCTATTTCTCAAAACAGTTTAGGAATGTGCTACTTGAAATACATCTTGCAAAAACATTTAAAACACTTTTTTCAACATTCTCAGAATCCAAGCTGTAACTCCGCCCACAAGCTGTGCTTGTCTCCAATTATTCATCCAAGAGAAGTTTATAGAACATAAACTGGTCTCCCCGCAACACTTCTCTAAAAGAACCCATTTCTTTTCCTCAAACCACTGGCCTCATCCCCGCAATAGGCCACACACCCTGCACTTCTAACTATGGGAGTTCATGCTCCAGGAGACCATAAAGAGCTGCCAAAGGCAGACAGAGCCTAATTCCAGAAGAGGCTAGTTATAAAAATTATACTGACACCAGCCACTGGTGTCCTGATTTTAAAAAAGGAAAAAAATATTTATCCAAAGAAGATAAAGCCTCCCAAGCATGAGCAAGAAACAGTCCCAGGTCATGGGAAAGTTGTGTTTAGAAAACAAGAGCTCACTTGATTGAAAAAGAAAACATGCCCACAGTGAACACCATACTTAAAGCTAAAAGATAGAAGCTTCCCTCTAAGATCAGGAGCAAGGTGAGGGTATGCCCTCTCACCACTTGTTCTCAACATTGTACTGGAAGTTCTAGCTAGGCAATGAGGCAACAGAAAGAATTAAAAAGGCATTCAGATTGGAAAGTAAGAAATAAAACTATTTCTATTTGCAAATGGCATTTTTATGTAAACCCATAACTAATAGAACTAAGAACAAGTATACCAGGATTGATTTCGGAGATTTTGATTATTGATTTCAGAGAGGATGAAGGAGAGAGAGAGAGCACGCTATCAGCTGCCTCTTGCACGCTCCCCACCAGGGATCAAGCCTGCAACCTGGGCATGTGCCCTTGAGTGAAATCAAACCCAGGCCCCTTTAGTCCACAGGCCAATGCTCTATCCACTGAGCAAACCCGGCTAGAGCCATTTTAGAGGTTTTTAAATAGAAAATCATAAAGAAAAACATTTGAACTTTCCTGTTTTTATGCTTCTCCCAGCCTCCAAAAAGGGCAGGTGGGAGGCGAGGGGAGCATTGGCTTCTACATGCAAAGCCCACCCGATGGAAGGCCTTGCATCTGGACTCTCCGGCTCCACCAGAGCCAGCTGAACATGGGCATCGGGATCAGTCCATCAAATTTTCCTTAGCACAGAGATTTGTAAGAGCAACATCAAGTCTTCTGGCTGCCCCAGCTTTCCCTTGTATTTAAGCCCTGTATTGTGAGTGAAACTGATATTTCTCTTAAACTGAAGGAGAGAGCCCATGATACCTAAAAAAAAAAAAAAAAAATGCTAAGATATGAAGATAGGAGAACAGAGATAGAACACAACTTCAATCAAAGCCACAATTGTCAAATTAAAATTAATCATACATTTCCCACTAGAATTCAGAAATGTTTCAGAGTAACATTTTAAGCCCTAGCTGGCTTGGCTCAGTGGATAGAAACTTGGACTGCAGACAAAAGGTCTTGGGTTCGATTCCAGTCAAGGGCATGTACCTCGGCTGCATGCTCTTCTCTGGCCCAGCAAAAGGCAACCAATGGATGTGTTGCTCTCACATTGATATTTCTGTCTTTCCCTCTCTTCCACTCTATCCAAAAATCAATGGAAAAATATCCTCGGGTAAGGATTAAAACACAAACGAAAGAAGTAACATTTGAAGTTTACCATCCTATTGTCTAGTGCAATTGGCAGCATCCAAAGTCCTGTTAAAAGTCAAGAGGCATGTCATTCCCACTAGAATGTCATTTGAATGTTCATCTATTAAAATAAATAAAGGGAGGGAAAGAAAGCTTGCAAAATACAGACTCCAGTTCAAATTTTATTTGCATACAAAAATATATTATAATGAGGAAAGCATATCACTGTTTCCAACTATATATAATTAATTACAAATATTTTCATAAAAGCACTTTAAATTACATGAAAGCTGTCTTTTAAGAGAAATACGATATTAGCATGGGTGGTCTGCTCTAATATGCTGCAAGCAGGTAAACAAAGTCAGTTTCACTGTTGGAATTGCTCAAGGATGAGCCCAAAGGCTAGTTTTAAGACCAGCTGGGAATGGCCTGGTGGTGGGCGTGTGCTCTCTCTATTCCTTCTGCAGCTGATTTTACCAGGTCCTCAGAGCTTTCTGAAGCTTTCCCCTTATGATGAAAGGACCCAGAACTTCTCCTTTTCTCACATACCTGTAAATAGGACAGATAAGGTTATCCATTCACAAAAGTGTACAATTCCTATGTTTAAACACCATCTTGGATATGCATCAAAGCAACAAACTTAATGTCAGGTTTCCCACACAATGTCTGTCTGATTAACTGGTATGACTGGTCAGCCTGCTGCAGTTTCCATGAAGTCGACAGGCTTGTTACATGAGTCTAATGCAACTGAGCAGTAATTACAAAAAATCTCTGTCAAAACAGGCTTTGGTCTTCTGATGTAGGATGGTACAGCATGTAAGCAATAGCTCTGCAGGTAGAGAACACATAGGACTTTCCACCTAATATGTAAGGCTCCCTGAAACAGTGTGAAGAACAGTTATTTTTAAATAACCAGCTTTGGATCCAATTTTTCAGATTTTGCCCAGCTATTTAGCAGAGCACAACATAAAATATTTTTTATGAGAAATCAACTCTTTCATTGAAAAAGTAAGGAGCTAGGACAAAATTCTCCAAACTTGTTCTGTAACTGAACAAGAAGAGAGCTACTGAAACGTTGATCTCAGAAGCTCTAGCTGTCCTCTGGCTCCTGTGTCCTTTGGAAACAGGGTGCAGTGATGATCAGATATCTCCAGGTTTCAACATTTTTAGTTACACAAAATGGGGTATAATTATGTAATGGCCAATGGGAAATAAGGTATTGCATACTCAATGCAGGTCTTTTCGTAACTAGCATGGATCTTTGGCTATAGGGTCTCCCTAGCTAACTCTCTCTCGGGATCCAACCCTCTGGAAGTCAGACCTCACCAAGCCCCTGGATCAAACCTGGGGATTTCCCTGGCTATGGGATGGTACCCCTCTGGCTTGTCAGCATAATGCCTGCATAGCCAACCAGCTCATTTCTTCTCTGAAAAGCCTGGCAGACCATCCTGATGGTAAGCTCATCTTGCTCTAATGAGTACACCACTTGTACTCTCCATTTCTCAAACAAAATGCCATTGTTTGCTGGTGGCCTATTCTCCCAGTTTAAAAAGTTGCTCGGTCTACTTTAAGGCAGGCTGACTCTCCCAATTTCTTTCTGAGCCACTGGGGTCCTGTATAGGAGCCTAAAGAAGCCTTATGGTGTAACTTCCTGCCCCAGGCAAGTTGGTAAACATTACAGCACTTTATCAGATGTGTCGGTTAGTTTTCCGTTTGATTTTTTAATACCAGGCATGTACTCACTTGCTAATGTTCTGTCAAGATCAGCAATAAAGTCTTCTAGCTCTTTCGTGTCTCCTAGTTTGGCTGAAAAACAATAATTGGAGTTCAATTTCCCCATATCAGAGACAGCTGATGACTCCCATCTTTTCTACTATTATTTGACCCCGTTTTACATCTCTCTGTCTTCAGAGATGTTACTGACGAGTGTCCTGTACCAACCCCAGTGTCTGCTCCAGGGTTTACTTACAGTCAACTCAGAACCGCATTCTGAAAAATAAACTAAATGATTCTTTAATTCCACTACCCTATCTGCCTCCCAACAATCTGGAAGAAGAACCTCCCTTTGAGGCCTTATAAGTTTGGGGGGTGATAGGGAAGGGGTGGGGTGGGGGGGGGTTGAGGAGCAAGGAAGAAAGATAAAATGTTTTGCTTTTTTTGATTGCGTAGGATTTGAATATCAGTCAAAGATATTCAGTAAGCATGGCCCTGTGCGAATGGACACCCAGACCCCCTAATTCCTGCTGTACTTCTCTCTCTGACACTTTCTTGCTTGTACTGTCTGTCACCTTAGGCCCTCAGAGTCCCTCCAGTATGAAATGAATGAAGAGCCACTGGTCTTTGTCGAAGTGGTACAGGGAAGGGGACATAAGGCTTCTCTTATCCCATCCAGGTTCTCTCTCATCTAGCAAGAGAGAATGAGTCCTTCTCCTGATCTTGTTTCCTCTGCATCCTGATACATACGTTTTCTGTGTATCTTACTTTTTCTTTCTGTAGAATTCATCATTCATGCCTTCTCTGAAATGCATTACCGGGTATACGTATTAATTAACCCCTGCTGGCTACAAATGGCTCTTTGTTTTTAGTTAATATAGTCAATTTGCCAGCAGGGCTCTGTTCCCCTCTTTAATTCCTGCCTCTTGAGGATCAGGTAGCAGATCTGGACATGCTTTAAGCCACTTTCTAGACTGCTCTGTCTGTCTGAATTCAGCAGACCTGTTACAGACGGAGGGCAGGACAATGGCGGAGTCCCTGGAGGCTGCTAATATTGCTCTCCTGAGAGAGTTTTTACACGGCTCCTTTGAAAGAGAATTCCACCTTAATGCCAGAGTGAGAAAAGTGATGGGATCTTCATATTTCTCTTCAACCAAGTCCTATTTTTATTGCATTCTGCAACTATTTTCAGCAAGTATAATGTTTCTTAAGGAAAAAAGAAACTCCTTTTGTTTTCAAAAGGGCCCTTGTTCACTGTAACAGAACATTCAGCTCTCTAGCTGGAGTCGCTTACTAGTTCCAAAAAATAAGAGGCCGCTCATGCATCTTTAAGCTTCCAGGGCTGCTCACCCCACAGCAGAGACGGGCTGGAGCTGCTATTTAGAATCGTGTTAAATCATCTCTTGCCTCATAATGATGGCCCCATTTAATTGCTAAATTGGTCATCTGAAATCATTGGTTAAATAGTTAATGCAATAAAAAGACTCCTACTTTCTGCAAAGCCTAACTGCCGAGTTTGAAACTCTGGAACCCACCAGCCAGGGAGAGCACTGCGTAGCTCTCCCTGGCACAGGCACAGGCTCGAGGACGCCACCTGAGAAAAAGCAGAGCACTGCGTAGCGTCTACTCGCTTTCTTTCTCCCTGAGAATTTGGGGTTTTTTGGTGACCCCATACCACTCCCACCATGTTATCTGATTTCACCTCCACACTTATCAAAACCCTGAAAAATAATAAATTCCACTTTACACTATATTATACTAAGATATTAGTCATCTATTTGATTTGCTTTTGGGAAAGATTGGTTAAGGATCGGGGGAAGAGAGAAAAGACTGGGAAGAGGAAGGGAATAAGGAAGAAAAAAAAAAAAAAAAAAAAAGAGCTCAAACTAATGAACTCACCTTTCCGAGGAGTGATGGCGGGAGAGAGCAGAGCCGGGGTGGAGTCTGTCGGAGAATTCAGTTTTTCGTCGCTGAAGCTGAAGCTGTTCCTATATAATGAATCTGCACCTTTCAGGAAAGAAAACGTAACTCATTAGGAATGGTCTTCCGTCTATGATCAACAGCTTATCCCCAAAAGGAGCAAAAGATATAAATTTCTAGTAAACAAAATGAGTTGATTTCCAGATTTTATATGTCTGCCTCCAAAATGCTTTGAAGCAGGAGAGCAAGCGTGTGTTTAGTTTGTGTGTGTGTGTGTGTGTGTGTGTGTGTGTGTGGGTGAGTGGGTGTGTGTGTGTAATCACACGCACTAAAGGCCCTTGCGGCCCTGAAAAAGGTCAGGTGCGATGGAGTCACCACAACCACACAGGAGCCCACTGCCCGGGTGCCTGACCTATTATACACCAGGTTGATTTGGGATCTTAGACATATGGAATCATCTTTTCTAAAGAATGTCTTTTCTGCTCTCTGAACCCCCTAAGATGGACATAAGGTTGGATCCCATGACTGAATAACTTTCCCTGCCTGCTCAAGAGAGAATCTTTGTCATGATTTTCCTGAGAACTTACACTCTGAAGTTAAGCTAGAGGGTCAAAGATAAAGATTTCTCCTCTGGTAGCTTGTCTGGTACAGACACTGAGAGTGATTTCATGGTTCCCTCTATTGTCCCCCAAAGACCAGAGAGACAGCAAGGCAAAGTCACAGAAGCAGGGCTGCACTGGGTGTCAAGGAAACTGCTCAGCTATGTGGGTGCCCTTGAGCAAGACAGTATCTCTAGGCTTTAGTTTACCCATCAATAAAGTGGGAAAATTGACTAAATAATCCTTAAAGTCCTTTCCTGCTCTGAAGTTCTGAGATTCTATTTCTCTAAATCCTGCCAAGGGGGAGGAAACCAGCCCACAGCCTGCCCAGCCATGCGGCTGTGACTGAGAGGAGCTGCCGGCTGAGCTGCACCAACTCAAAGGGCTCAAAGGCAGAGGAAGCAGGATGTGGCCAATGAGGTCACAAAGGAACAGTCTTCCTGGTTAAAACAAAACACAAAGCTAGCCCCGGCTGTAGGGGAGACGATCTCTGGAAATACTCTTAAGGTGAGAGAGGGAAGCTGAATCATGAGGGCCTGGCCAGCCCCCATTCCTCCTTAAGAATTATCCAATCACCTCTAGGTCAGGAGGCGGCAAACACATCCTTCTTTGGTCCCTTGTCTCCCCTGCTCTTCTGCGGAGGTGGGGAGGGGGCAGCACCATCTTGTCTTCCTGGCCCACACACCCATTTTGTCCACCTTCTCAAACACGCCCTACCCTCACAGTTCTCGCCCTTTAAAGGTCCAGCTCACATCACCTGGAAGAACTACATCATTTTTCCGGGCTTTGATGATGAACCCCTACTGAGATCCAAATGCTGAACCTCTCACATTTCCCTAAAAACATATTCCTCAGAATACTGGTCCTTTAAAAAAAGAGAGAACAGTGTAATCAACTAAGTTTGGGGAGCACTGAGCATCCTTGGAGATTCCCATTGTGTATTTCCACTTTAACATCCCTGAGATGCCTTGTGATGAAGGAAGCCCTATTGCCCAAGTTTACTTGATCACGGGACACTTTTCTGTGGCACCCCTGTTAATATTTCTTAGGACTCTTGTGTTCCGTGGAATTCAACTCGGCAAGTGCCTTCTGTTTGCCTTGTCAGCTAAGCCCTCCTCTAGAGCAGTCTGGGTTTCCTCGAGGAAAAGCAAAAGCCTTTTCCCAACATACAGCAAAGTGGTTGTGTCCACTGCAGACCTACAGCAGAGAGTTACTATCTGTCACCAGGCAGAAGTCAGGAGAATCCCACAAGTCTGTGGGAGAAAGATGAGGCAAGTCAGAGAGTCAGGAAAACCACAGAGGACCCTGGGGAGGCAGGCCTTGTGCCCAGACTCCTGAGCCAGCAGGAAGGAACACTAGGCCTTTAGCACATTATCGTACCCCTATCCCTGGCCCAGCGTGCCAAACCCAGAGACTCGCTGGCCCAGATCTCCGTGGCCACACCTCTGTTCTCTATCTCCCAGAGACAGTTGGCCGTGGAGAGCCAGTTTCTCCACCACACCTTATTCCACCCCACCCTGTACCACAGGCTCTTGCTGGGACTTTGGACTTCATCTCTATTCTGCTCCAACTTCCCAGCTATTTTATATCACCATATATTCATCCTTTGGGAGGAGAAAACACACACACACACACACACACACACACACACACACACACACACACTACTCATATTCTGGCTCATTGATGCTTCTTCTTTCTGTAAGTCCTATGCACAATCTAGGCCAAACTTGACTCCAGACTCCAAAATGTTCAACCATCAAAAGGAAATGAAACCCAGTATCCATTAGCCAAAACTGCCGACAGTTTAGTCCCACCCTGTGGTAATATTCTACAAATGTCATTCATGAAAAAGATGCAAAAGACAACCTCAAGAGCCTCAGAGATACTGTGGGCCCGGAAGAAGCTGTTGCCATGGAGATGTGTGGGGGAGAGGCCGTGAAAGCGAAAGCTGTGTGGCCCTGTGTAAGTCACTTCACCTCTGGGCCTTAGTTTCTTTTGCTAAAGGGTAATAACTGAGGTGCTCCGTGTATGATACTGATGGGTTTTCTTGATTTATTCTCAAGTGCCTGGCAAAATGGAGGATGGAATACCCAGGACAGGAAAGGTCACCACAGAGAATAGTAAGAATCAAGATTCGAGGCCCAGGCTTCTCCTCTTCCTCAGATAGTAGCTAAGTCTTTAAGAGAAGTTTATGTGAGGGGTGTCCTAGAACAAACCCCCCAAGAACAAACCACCGACACAAAAGTACCTCAAACTCTTGACCTCTCTTTACCCTTTGCCCAATGAAATTTCATATTACAGACTTTTATTAAGCACCTGCAATGAACAACATCTCACGCTAAGCGCTATAGTAAATTAAAAGGTAAGCAAAGCCTGGCTTCCCTGGAACTCTATCCCTTACAAAATAATGGTCAGTTAGTCTAATGAGATGACAGTAGTGGGTATTATTAATACACATATTAATGTATTATTTCTCCACCCGGGTATCAGGTGCTATCAATAGTGGCTTGAGGGACACAAGCAGTGATGATTTGAGGAACCTTGGCAGGTGTCAAGAATAGATATTTTAAAGCCTGACGTCTACTTCAGTCAGCTCTAAAGCCCATCTCACAGCAGCCCAAAGCCCCATAAGGCATCCTTGTCAAGTCAACTTCGTGTGCTGAAGCCAGGAACCTCAAATTCAGGGACCAAGTTTTGTAAGACACCGTTAGAAGAATTGTAAGCATATTAAATATACAAACATCTAACTTTAGAATCACTAACAGAGCTTGGAAAAACAGAGGCTTGTTTAAAAGGTAGATGTGTTTTTAGTTTAGGGGTGGGGAGAAAGGTAATTTAGGGTTAGTGCCAACATGTGCTAGTCCAGCGGGGAGTAAAACCACAGACAGTGAACCTTGGCCAGCGCTCCTGTAAATATAGAACAATCCCACACGTTTAAGGCAGGCAAACTATAGTAATCAACTGAGGAAAAGAAAGCCTTGGACCTGTTTCCCTTTTGCCACAGGGAATGGGGGTGTGGTGAATTTCCACCTCAAAAATCTAAGTTCTGACAGCCTCACTGAAATGTGAAAATGGGATAGAATAAGAAAGAGCCTTTTCCTCAGTTTCTCCGCTACTGTCTCAGCTTTGCTTCTGGGACTGCTCCTGCCTCTAGACAGCTCTCCAGGCGGCCTTCAGCGTGAGACCTGTCACCCACCCAGAATTCCTAACGCAGTACAAGGACAACCAGAGGACTCCTCACTCCCCATTCTCCCACGGTTTGAACAAGTTCAGGTTCTAGTCTCAGGGGCTCCTATGTCTGATCAGCCGATATGCTTCCCATTACGCTGGCACCCAGGGTCCATAAGGTCTCCTTTCCCAGGACCAACCTGGAATAGTCTAGGCGAAGGCATTCAAATATTCTAGTCTTACACGTGCTAAGGTAGCTAGTTGCTTATCTGGCCCTACAATACCATAATAGCCCAAACATTCACAGAAAACTTCAGACCTTAAACACATTTGGCTTAAAGTTATTTTTCAAACTATGCTGTTTTTTCACTATTTTTGGAAATTGTTTTAGAAATATTGAGAAAACAATATCGTTTGAAAAAGAAGTTTAAACCAAAGATGTTTGCAACTCCTGCAGCACATCTGATGATCAAGTTTGGGACACACTGCCCTACTCCTAACTATCGATACACTCCCGCTCACTGCTGGAGTTAAACTCTCTCACGGAGGGGCCTGAGATTACCTGTCAGAACTCAAGTAGGGGAAAGGAACAAGCCTATCTTGACCACCCCCATTTGAATGCCACCCCTAAGGTGAAGTTATCTTGCAATTGTTATTTTGGTCCTCTCCACGTCTTCGGACTCTCTAAGTGGGAACAGGGAGTATTTCCTTATTAAATATCCATTCTTCTTTCCCATATACGTAACTTGCTTCTTTGGGTGGAAGAAGAAATGTCTATCTTTCTCCTTTGGATGCAAGTAACCTAGTGAGAAAAGGAAGGATTCTAAAAAATAAAAATATATAAATACAGAAATGTACCTGGCATAAGTTGAGCAACAACCTATAAATCAAGAGGTCATGGTTCAATTCCTGGTCAGGACACATGCCCACAATGCAGGCTCTGCCCCCAGTGGGGGATATACAGGAGGCAGCCGATCAATGATTCTCATCATTGATGTTTCCAAATCTCTCTCCCTCTCCCTTCCTCACTGAAAGAAGTACACACACACACACACACACACACACACACACACAATATATATATTTTTAAATATATATATATTTAAAAACAGAAATGCAGTGGGAACATCTTCAGAGCAATACAACTGTAAGGACAAAGTGAAAACTAAGGCAACCTTGATTTAGAGTTTCATATATTATCATTTTCATGGAAGACACTGACTTAAATATATAAGTGATCTACATGATAAACCCTGATATATGCATTTTAGTGTTTTTCTTGAAAGCATTAAGAAAAGCAAAAGGCCCTGGCTGGTTTAGCTCAGTGGGTAGAGCATTGACCTGCGGACTAAAGGGTCCCAGGTTCAATTCCTGCCAAGGACATATGCCCGGTTATGTAGTGGGGGGCATGCAGGAGACAGCCAATGATTCTCTCTCATAATTGATGTTTCTGTCTTTCTCTCCCTCTCCCTTTCTCTCTGAAGTCAATAAAAATATTTTTTTAAAAGAGCAAATATTTCTTCCTAATTATGAGCTATGGATATTTCTAATTACACTGTTAAACAGCATCAGTTCAACTTCACAGCTAGAGAAACTGAACCCCACTCATCACCTAGGACTGACAGTGCTCAGCCTGGGCCCCACTGCCCCAGCAGATGACCATTTGAAAGAAACCCCTTCACACACAACCACCACTGCTAAACAGGCACTAGTCCTGGGTCCAATGGGACTTCATTTCTATTCCTGAGGACTTGGCTCCCATTCCAGCCAACAACCCACCCTGAAGAGCAAGGCCTTAGAGAGAGAGAGCCCATGTGGTTCCGATGTCTTATCAGAAAAATACAGATAACAATGTCTACCTTATAGAACTATGGTAGTGATCATATGAGATAACACATTTAAAGCCCAGCAAAGAGATGACTAATAGTAAGAGCTAATAAATATTAATAGTAATCATAGTCAGGGCTTGGCAAAAGTGTGTCTCCCTTTTGGTGGAATGAATTAGCAGGATCTACCTCTCTCAAACATTCTCTTCCACAGGAAAACATAAAACAGACAAATGATTAAAACGAATTCCTGTACTCAATTCTTGGTGGCAATTAAGATATACAAATTATGCTTCCTTAAGAAATTACTATTTAGATACACACAGCTTCTGTCAAGACTAGTTCTAAGCAGTCATATGGGGAACAAACCATACATTTGTTGAAAAGACTGATGTCACCGGAGCCTTCTTTATGCCCTCCCCATTACTTCTCTCAACACCAAACTAAGGTTTAGTTCAACAGCTAACAACAAAAGCAGAAAACAAAATATACACACATATCCTAAAGAACAATACAGATTATTTCACACATCCCTCCCCAAAACCATTCAGAATGTTTCCAGTACCTCCTCTTTGAGGCCCCTGAAAACAGATCCCAGCTCTGAAACCCTACCCAGGGGAGCTGCAATCACCCATGAATGGGCGAGCTCAGACCATACTGCAGCCAAGTGCGGCTGTGGCTTAGAAAGGAGCTGTTCTTTGCAATAGACCAGCACTGGACAGGCTGCCCAGCTTTCTTTCCTGTAGGGAAGAGAACTTGTTCTCCGTGAATAACTTTGCTCCATGCCCCAGTAGGAGACGTATTTCAGTTTGGCCACAGAGAGTGAGACACATTTCAAAAGTTTTTAGACTTCCCTGAGAAGTTAAATAGAAGCAGTCTGGTCATTAGCCACAAAGTCCAAAAATACAAAATGGAAAATTAACAGCACACTATTCCATTCCCTTTCACCTCAAAAGCTGCAATTAGATCTAACCCTTGGGCAAGGCAGCCAAGAGAAAGCCAGCTGGAACTCTGGTTTCTGACTCAAACCCTGAAGGGTGGTGCGTGCCCTTAATCTCTCTTCCGGAGACGGCTCACGTTTAAGTCTAGGACTGAACCTTTGCCCTCCAACAAGGAAGAACTTCAGATTTCAAAAGGAGAGAATTGCAAGGAAAGGTCACTGCTTTCACTTCCAGAGTCAAGGGCAGCAAAGAGAGTGGGTCTAGGGAGTGAAGTCTCGAGAATAACCCAAAATTGCTTCAAATTTCACGTTGAAAAATAAGTAATTTGAAACCGGCAAGCATGTAATACTGAAGTCACCAAATGTGCTGTCTGACACCTACACAGACATCCATAATCCTCAGAGGACATCTGGGTTCGGGGAGAAAGCTGTCTCTCCTGAGCTTGTTTAGGACAGAGACCCTGGCAGCCACCAGCAAGCATCTCCCCGCTGACTGCCCTCTGGCTCCCTGTCCGGTCTGTCCCCAAAGCCAGCCCTCCCCCAGGGGCCTGGAGGAAGGAAGGGTCACTTCCGAAAACACTTGAACCCAGCAGTGCCAGGGATTCCTTCAAAACTCTCTGTCATGGAGCAGCAAGTCTGGGAGCTCGGGGCCAAAAGAAATTGCAAGAAGTTATTTCAAACATCCCAAGAGCAGCCGTTTATGAAACTTTTCTTGGTTTCACACATGTTTCAGTCTTGTGCCCTCCCACGCCCCCTCCCATCCCCATTCCTGTGCCACTTGCTCCACGTCCTCTGAGAAGTCCCTGCTGAGAGGGGAGGAAGGGGGTAGGAGCGGAGGGGAGGGAACTGTGGAAAGGCTTGGTCCCAGGAGTCCCGTCTGCTGCTTTGGTGGACCCTCCACTCCAGCCTGTGACACCTACAGGTAGGCGGGCTGGCGGCGGGGAGACCCACTGGCCCTCAAGAGCCTTCCCCGGGTTCTTGCCCCGCGTCTCCCCTCTCCGGTGCCCTAGCGACTGCCCGGAGCGCCCTTGTCCCCAGGCACCGCGGGTGCCCACTGCTCAGACTGCAGCCCGGCAAACGGAGCGGGAGCCTCGGGGCGCCGGGCACCCGCTCGGAGGGCGCACTCACTCTCGGAGTCGCTGAAGCCGCTGCTGTCGCTGACGCTGGCGCTGCTCCGCCGCTTCATGCGCTGCAGGTGCTCCTCGTAGTGGAAGTGGCGCGCGTGGCAGGGCGACGCGAAGTCCGCCAGCACCGCGTCGAACTCGCACAGCGCGTCCGTCAGGTCGCCGGCGGCCGCCGAGTCCAGGGCAGGCGCTGGGGGGGAGCGGGGGAGAGAGGGGAAGAGGAGGACACGGGCTCAGACCTCGGGGACCCGCAGGCACCCTGTCCCGCCCGCCGGGAGGGGCGCCAGCTCCCGGGGACGGCTAACTCTCTGACAGTCTCCCCTGCCCTGGAGCCCGGTCCCCATCCCGCCGCTTCAGAGAGGACACGGCCCCCCGCGGGTACCACTGCGGCCAGGCCACCCGCGGGGGGCACAGGGGGGGGCTCCCTCCCACGCGCCCCGGATCCGTGCGCCCACGCTCGCTCCCCCGGGGGCGGTGCGACCCCGCGGGCGGAGGGAACACTGAGTCAGGCTGCGCGCGGGGTGGGGCTCGGGTCCTCAGCCCTGGGGGGGGAGGGGGGGCGTGGCCCGCCGCGGGCAGGCTCCGCTGGTGCGGATGGCGGGAGGTAAAGTGCAGGGAGGACACGGCATCCCTCTTCTTTCCCGCCTTTCTCCCCCCCACCCCACCCCACGCCACCCCACCTGCAGGCCCCGGGCTCTAAGGGGACCCCCGCTCACCTGCGGCGGCGGCGGCCGCGGGGCTGCCCTGCGTGGCGGGCGGCTTCATGGGCGGCTCTGCCCGGCGCGGGCGGAGGGTCCTGGAGGTGCTGCCCGGGCCCCGGACGATCCACTGAAGCGGGGATCGGCGGTCGCGCTCTGCTCCTGCCCTGCTCCCGCTCCGCTCTGATTCTGCTGCCGGTTCTGCTGCTGCTCGGCCGGTCGCCCAGCGCGGTCTGCACGCGCCCTTTCAGCAGCACCGCCGCCGCCAGAGCCTTATAGCCGCCGCGGGCGGGGCGGGCGGGCGGGCGGGGCGGGGAGGCAGCCGCCAGCCGGGGCCCCCTCTCCCCGGACCCCGCCCCCGCCACGCGCCGCCCGGGGACCGCAGTGACTAGGACTGGCTGGAGCCCAGGTGACAGCCCAAATATTTACCCGCCGTTTTCCCCGTGCACCCTGACAACCCGGCCCACGAAGATGGCTTTGACGTCACCAGAACCCCCAAAAGTTCATCCTTCGGCTGCTTCCCTCCCTGTGCCCTGAACGAACGGCAGCCTCAGAAATGGAAATGCTGAGCCTCCGGGTTTGCTGTGAAGAGTAAAGCAGCTGAAGGAGAGACCCAGGGGGCGTCTCCCACGCGTCCCCACCCAACTGCTCTGAGGGACCTAAAAGTTGTGGGTGGAGCAGTGGCGGGGTAGCTCAGTGGGTTCCAGCGTGGCCCCATGTGCCAAGGCTGCCGCAGTTCCATCCCCTTGGGGCACGTACAAAGAGGCAACCTATGAAGGCATGAATAGAGGGAACAACAGATAGATGTTTTTCTCTCAAACCAATAGATAAAAATTAAAATAAAGAGTTGTGGGTCCAGCCAATGTGGCTCAGTGGTTAAGCCGGGATCTATGAACCAGGAGGTTGCGGTTAGATTCCTGGTTGGGATACATGCCCGGTTTCCAGCTCTTGCATCCCTGTCAGTTGAAGAATCAGCCAAGCTGATCTTCAAAACAGCCTACAAAACAGCTCCAGTGTTTAGCAGCCATTCAGTTTACTGAGACAGCGACAATGAAGGTAGCCTCTCATCAGGTTGGCTGGCTGTTGCCATCTGCGTTCCATGGTGAGGGAGCCCACCCAAGCATTGAGGGGCCCCAACTCAAAGTGTCACCTCTAGCATGGGTGTTACCTTGGTTATGGAAAACTACTGCTCTCGTTCTCTTTTCTAATTAAAATTTTAATATATAGGAAAATATAGAGAATTGGGTAATAGCACTCTGTGTAGCCACCACTGAGAATTAACACATGTTAACATTTTATTTTTGCTTCAGATATTTTTTGAGGTATAATTTATATACAACAAAGTATGCAAAATTTGGGTGTAAGTTCAGTAAATGTTTACCTGTGTAATTACCATCCAGATGAAGATATAGTATATCATTATCACCCTAGAAGAATTCCTATGCCATTTTCCAGTCAGTGGGACCCCATAAGTAACCCTCTGATAGTGAACCCGAGGATTATTAGTTTGTCAATTCTAAAACTCCTTAAACAAAATCATAGTGTATTCATTTTTTTATACCTGGCTTCTTTTGCTTAACGTAATGTCCATGCATGTGTGTTGTTGCAGTATTAATCCATCCTCCTGCTGGTGAACATTTGTTTTGTTGCTGATGATGATGGGGTAGTCTTACTGGAATAGTGCCACAGTGAGTATTCTTATACCTGTCTCCTTGTGTACATGATTACAAGCCTCTGGGATATATGTCTAGAAGTGGAATAACCAAATTGCCTTAGTTATCTCTAATCCTTGCCTAGGATATACATAGGATATACGTCTAGAAGTGGTATAACCAAATTGCCTTAGTTATCTCTAGACAGCAGCTTTATATTAGTCAATGACTAGAGATAACTAAGGCAATTTGGTTATCTTATTGGTGCACATAAATACGTCTTTATGAATATTTTTGTGCACCATTTATATTATGTGCAGTATTTATTTTAGTCAGTGACTAGAGATGACTAAGGCAATTTGGTTATCTTATTGGTGCATATAAATACTCACATCTCTTGGGTTTATACCTAGGAGGGAAATTTCAGAATCACAGGGGAGGCATGTGCTTTCAAAGATACTATTTTTCCAAAGTGTTAAATTAATCTACACTCCCAGCAATGTATAAGAATTCCAATTGCTCCATATTTGTGTCAACATATAATATTGCTAGACACGTTAATTTTAGCCATTCTAGTGAGTGTATTACTGAAATTTTTTTCTTTTTTTCAGTGGCTTTAATTTACATTTACCTAAAAAGTAATTAAATTGGCCACCTCTTCATATGTTTCAAATATTTCTTAATAAGAGAAATTAGAATAATACAGATAAAGTTGAAATCCTCTTATCTGTATTTCCCAGTCTTGCCTCCCTCCCTCCCTCCTCAGAGAAAATCAGTACCCTATTAGATCATGTTTTTATACCTAAACTATCTATACTAATAAAGCCTAGGTGGCCCTTGCACGTAACATCGCCACAAGATGGCCACCACAAGATGGCCACACACACAGCAGAGGTGGGCCTAGCTGCTGCTCTGCGCAGTGAGCCCTGGGAGTCCCACAGCTCCGTGCAGCATGGAGGAGGCCAGTCCCAGCGTCTCCACCATCTCACGTGAAGGAGGCAGGTCCCAGCAGAGGAGGCAGGTCTCAGAGGAGGCAGGTCGCAGCAGGGAAGGGCAGTTGTGGGCTATCAGGCTAGCAGGAGAGGAAAGTTGTGGGTGATTGGGCTGGCATAGGAGGGCAGTTGGGGACGATCGGGCCAGCAGGGGAGCAGTTAGCTGTCGGGGATAATCAGGCTGGCAGGCAGAGGTGGTTAGGGGCAATCAGGCAGACAGGCAGGCAAGTGGTTAGGAGCCAGTGGTCTTGGATTGTGAGAGGGATGTTCGACTGCTGGTTTAAACTGGCAGTCAGAAATCTCCCGAGAGGGTCCCAGATTGGAGATGATACAGGCCAGGATGAAGGACACCCTCCCACTCCCGGTGCACAAATTTTATGCACCAGGCCACTAGTATTTATCTTATCTAATAACAGAGTGATATACAAATTGACCATACCTCCACTACACCCACAAGCCAAGCCCACCAGCCAATCAGGAGTGAGTATGCAAATTAACCCAACCAAGATGGCTGCAGCCACAGAGAAAGCAGGAGGAAATGGAGGTGGCCAAGCTTCCTGCATAACCTGGATGACTGTGGACTCCACTCAAAGCTACAAAGTTTCAATTATAGAAGATAAATAAATCCCAGATCCTAGGGTCTCTGGTTGGGTCGCCAGGGGGTGTGGCCAGCCTGGAAACCACCACAGGCCCTTCTCCCAGGCCACCTCACAACCCAAGAGAGCCCCCATCATGATCCAGGGCACCATTCAGGGCAAACTAGCTGGCCCCCACCCGTGCACCAGGCCTCTATCCTGTCTAATAAAAGAGTAATATGCAAATTGATCATCACTCCAACACACAAGATGGCTGCCCCATATGGTCAAGTAGCTGCCCCCAGGTGGACACAAGATGGCTGCCACAAGATGGCCAGCAGAGAAGGGCAGTTGGGAGGGACCAGGTCTGCAAGGGAGGGCAGTTGGGGGTGATCAAGCCTGCAGGGGAAGTTAGGGGTCACCAGGCCAACAAAGGAGGGAAGTTGTGGGCAACCAGGCCTTCAGGGAAGGGCAGTTGGGGAGGACCCAGGCCTTCAGGGAAGAGCAGTTGGGGGTGACCAGGCCTGCAAGGGAGGGCAGTTAGGGGCAACCAGGCTGGCAGGGGAGCAGTTAGGCACAATCAGGCTGGCAGGGCAGTGGTTAGGGGATGATCAAACTGGCAGACAGAAGTGGTAAGGGGCAATCAGGAAAGCAGCCAAGCGAGTAGTTGGGAGCCAGCAGTCCTGGATTGTGAGAGGGGTCCCAGATTTGAGTGGGTGCAGGCTGGACTGAGAGACACACACCCCCATGCACTAATTTCGTGCACCAGGCCTCTGATATGTTTACATAAAATGTATACTATTTACATAACTACTTTCGTGTTACAATATGCTTTGTTTTCAGTCAACATTGTTTTCACATATGTTGATACATACAAATCTAGTTTATTCATTTCATCTGCCAAGTGGAATTCCACTGAATGACAATAACACAGTTTAATTATCCATTTTTCAGTTGATGGACACTTAGGTTGTTTCCAATCCTTCTCTATCACAAACAGTACTACAGCCGTCCTGTTACCTATCTCTTAGTGCACACATGTGAGTCACCTTCTACATTTATCTCGATTCCTTCCTTAGAACCAGACAAAGGTAAGGTCAAACGCTCAGTCCTTTGAGTCTTCTGTCTGGGTTCCAGAGGGGAGGGCAGAGCCTCCTAACAGTCCACAGCCACATGAACATAGTGACAAAGATGACTGACCTCACTGTTCAGGTATGAACTTGTCCCTCCCTGAGGAGGGGTTGGAGCCCTGTCCTTCACCAGCCCAGAACCATAACATCCTTACACTAGGATTTATACATAATTCAAATTCTAGAAGGTCATTTAGTTACACATGTCTCCTTCCAGGAAGACTTGAGGGAGCTTGTGATTTCAAAACAGAACAATCACAACTTCTTTCAGTTTTAAAAACTAGTTCTTTTTTTAAAGAGTATTTATTTATTTATTTAGAAAGGAAGGGGAAAGGAGAGAGAGGGAAACATCACTGTGAGAGTGAAACATCAACAGGCTGCCTCCTGCATGTTCACTACCGGGTATCAAGACTGAAACTGGGGCATATGCCCCAACTGGGAATCAAACCAGCAACGCTTTGGGATGATGCCCAATCAACTGAGCCACACCAGCCAGGGCAAAGACTAGTTCTTTATCTAAACTGGTATCTCTTCCTCCTTTGTACTGTTAACTACTCTCTCCTTAACACTTGTCCTGATTCTCCATCTAACAGCCTCATCATTTCTTCTCAAGCCCTGTGGAATCCCTCCTCTGTATAATTAAACTCTGAGGTTCCCTACAGGTCTCTCTATCTTTTCTTCTCTACACTCTTGCCAGACCATCTCATTCCCTCTCATA